ATGTAAATGTATATTCAATAGGGTATTTGAAGGCCTGGGAGGCACTAGAGCAACACAATGGTGTGAATTCTGCCTGCCATGCTGGTCTAGTTTGGATTTGATTCCAAAAACTGCCCAATCCCAATGAGTACTGCTTTAAGAAGGCATCACAAATAAAAGTAAAGTCAAATCACTACACTAACTGCCACTGTGGCCACAGCAACTACTACAGCTGAAAAACATTTGGGAGTTGGTTGGTGTTCAACTAAAACTGGTGAAATATACTTAAGAACAACATAAATTAACCCAAATCATTTTAGCTTTAAAAATGTGATTCAAATAAAAAGCACAAATGTTTATGTGCATTTACATTTTTAGTATTTTAAATATAATTACAGTAGTATCAGAATTGTGCACTACAGCATTAAATTAATCAAAGACATGCCATTGAAATAAATTAGATCGTTGAATTTAAAGTTCTTCTACTGTACTTTCCAACTGTGATGTCAGAGGTGTGTACTGCACATATACATGAACAACCGAAAAAATACTTTAATTACATTTTTGGATTATTCAAATGATAGAGCAGCTTTAAAACACCAATGATTGTTATTGTTACTGGCAAATCAAAGTTTACTAAGCAATAATAATCAGTAAATGGCAACATTTTTTCTTGTTTATTTTTTTTTCTTGTAATTTCTTCCAATGTTAACATTCAAAAAAATAATTACAGAACACGTTTTTTTAAAGATTTCTTCTAGATTATTCTTTATCCATCTAAGGCTTTTCATAATTGGATAAACATTCACCAGTAAAAAAAAATTAACTGTCCAACAGGCCAAACGGCTCCTTAAGATAAGATAGTTTGTACTTTGTACATACATTATAACAATGTCTTTAGTCCGTACAAGATGGTACCGACAGATGCTTTCAGTTTTAGTTTGACTCGAATGTGTAATATGCCAGAACACACAACAAAAATGGAGATAATGAGAAGACAATGGTTGTTCGATGTTGTTTTTCAGAATTAAAATTTCTGTATTATGGTGATTAGTTGATTATCAAATTATCTACTCGATTATACTCTGATAATAAAATACATTTTCAGTTATATTTTAAATTTTTTAACGTTACATGACGACACAAACAAAACTTGATTTGAGTTTGAGGGGGCGTTGTCATTTGTAATTGACATCCAGAAATGACTGACCGATTACTTTGAATAAAACAATCGTATGATTAATTAAAACGATTCCTTAACTCCAAGCGTTAAAAAAAATCCTATGGGATAGCCTGCTCCTGTTGTTCTTCAACTGGACAGTTCAATATCGTCTTTCAGTACAACGGTATCTGATTTTTCTTTTAATTAATTTAAATGTTCGTCCAATTTTCATAACACGTTTTTAATATGGATGAAGACGGTGAAAAGATCACCGTTGTCTTTACACAGTGGACTGCCCTTCTTTGGCTTCTTGGCCTTAGATTTGTTTATTTGAGATACACCACTCCAACCCTAACTGGGATATAGACACGTGACAACAATAGGCGAAAATGATACGCATGTCTATATCTTACCTGATTATTCAGATAGTCAGAAAAGTGATCTTTTAAACGTTTAGTGACGTTTTAGAATCGCTTATTTACTCACCGAGCGAAGCTTAGCCAGACAGCTGGCAAGTTACTTCCGCCCCGTTCAGTACATTAGACGTGCGGACGAAGTCGAAGCTCTCCCTTCACAGCTGTCCCGTCGAATATCTTGTCGAATAATGTATCCCAACAATCGGCGAAAAAACTAAATCACAATATCCCAATGTAAAAAATGCCACAGGGTGTTATAATAAAGGGAAGGTTGACGTTTGAGAGATTGTGCGGAGACGTAGCGGTCTTCGGGTCTTGCTAACCCTTTCCTGACAAGTGCCAGCCCCCTTCCCGAAAACAACGCTGTGACTTTGTGTAGAACCCGAGCGCTGATTGGCTATCAATACTGTCAATCAAAATGTTCACAGTTTTTTCTTTTTTTACGGGGGCTTTTTGGCTCTGTGTAGGATATGTAGGATGAATTAATTATGTTAGCTTTAAAGTTACCCTTTTCTATTTAAGTTCAAGAATGATTTCTCTATACATGGCAAATTACACGTGTTTATGTTACAACTTTTTTCCTTGTATCCAATATTTAGAGACTTTGGTTCTAAGTGTAAGCAGTTTATTTTTGGTAACTACTGATTACTTGCTAGCTATGTCTAGCGGTAATTTAAGGAAAAAGTTTTACTTCCTGGCCAGGCTTTCAGTGATTATATTCTTCTTCTTCTTTTTTTTTTTTTTTTGGGGGGGGGGGGGGGCTACATTTTGCTTATTAGTTTCTGAAGATTAAGCAATTGAAGTTGTGATGTTATGACGTTTTAAACTCTTTGTCCTAATTGATAATTTCTCTGATACATTCTTTTTTTATATTTATTTTCTAGTTATTCTTAGTCTATTTTCACATTACAATGTTAGGTTAATTATTATTTGTCCTGGTTGAATATTTAGCGAGTATTTTACCTAATTATGGATACTTTTGGACAACCTGGCTATTTTGGAGCTAATTCTTTTCATTTTCTGATCGAATAACTTTTGGGGTTTTTTCACAAACTTCTGACAATTCTTTTCAAAAGAAAAATTAGCAGTTTGACGTCTTCAGTTTCTTTTTTTAGTTTCTGTAGCTATTTTTGGCTAAATATATTTTGAGATTTTGTCAGACTCTTATCAGAATAGAATATTTAGATAATATATAGATAATGATGTATCTTATCTTTTAGCTTTTTGGCACTAAGCTAGTATTGGGCAAAATAAATATTAACTGACTAAATACTAAATAAGTCAGTATATTTTATTATACACATGTAAAATTACTTTTTTAATTGTAACAAAGGTAATACAAATTCAAATTTATAGTTAAATAACTGTCTTAAAGGTTACATACGTATGTTATATATAGAAACAAAATGGACAAACCTAATATTTTGGAAATATATACCTTAAACATTAAGACTCTACATTCACATACTGCAGGTATCATTTGGGAAGTTCTTCCATTAGAAGGTTAACTGGGAGGAAAGGGAGCATCTACCAATGGTGTCAGCTTTGAACACAGGGGTGGCTATGACTCCACCACTTTTTTTTGAACCATCTAATGGAATAGTCAGACAAAATACAAAGAATATTTCTCAACCAAGACAGCAAATATTTCTGCCCAGGCTTGTAGTGTAATACCGAAGTGTGCTTTTCCACATCAAATTACAGCAACACAAGTCATCCGTACAAGGCTTACAAACGCAGTGGTGAGTCCACTTGTTTCTTCATAGCAATACACTGGATCTTTTTGTAAACTACAGAAAATAACCCCATAACATTTGACCAGAAAAATAGGAAGAAATATGTAGTTTTTAAAAAAAACAATATCAGTTTATAATAACAGATGCGAGATGCGACATGTCTGACAAATTTGAATAACTGTCTCTCTGAGTTTGTTTACTTAAATTTGATACCACCCCTTGTGGTACCCAAATTTGCTGTTGAAAATCATATAATGGCCTCTCAGTTTTAGTTTACTTTAACATAATAGAAGTCAGGGATCTGGAACATCTGAATCTGCAGTACAGCAGGGAAGTTAAAAAAACATGAACAAAGTTTTCCTTTGTAGATAAGAATCAGCAAAACTATCTAAAGGCAATCACAGATTTTCCCACCTGACAGCAGACAAACGATGGACAGAAACGGAAACAAATGTTTAGATAGAGATAATAATGTATTTAATTTGCCTAAAGTTCTGTAATGTCAGTAAAAGGGTAGGGAGAACAGCTTATTTCATCTGTTTATAATATCTCAAGTGCAAGAATTAGTTGTCATTGGTTATACATGCACAAAATATCCATGGGTTCATACGTCATCTATTCTCTTGGATCAGTAGATATTACGCAGACTAAATGATTATAAGCATAAAAAATTCACAAGGTCATTTAGTCTGTCTTTTTGCTTCAGTCATGGGATGTTAACTTTAAAAGGTTAAATCCATTAAATAGCTGTTAAAATACTGCATGTGATTACAGGGTCATTAAACCTGAAGCAATGTGTTGTTTTATACTGTAAACTGCATAATCTTTTGTTGTTCTTGCAGCTTAGGGAAGAGACAATGGTAAGTGATGATAACATGGAAATAACTTCCTTCCTGTTGAGAGAGCACAAGGATGTAAATGTATTTTTTTTTCTTCCTCTACCTCAAAACATGGGAGTGATTTATTGGGTGAGGGGACTTCCTCCTTATATTACCTTGAGTACCTGAAAATGACAAGATCTAAACATAATATTTTAAAAAACAATCTTTATTTAACAGGTCATTTTAGATCAATAATTGTACAAAAAAGAAAATGTTTAACCCCAGTGGCAGGTAGTACACCTTGACCTGACTTTATCAAGGGAATGGACAATAAAAATACTTTTGGTCCTTACTCAAAATTGTATTTGTTAAGCGGGCAGGTCTCAACACAATCCAAATAAAAACTCCTAAAGTTTGACCTGCGTTATTGTATGTCAAGTTATGTTGTATTTTTGAAAAGCATTATTCTTGCTGTACAAGACTTGACAGTCCTTGTTCTTTATTGTCAGGTTTTCATTTTTATCAACCCCAGACAATGTAGCCAAGAAAATATGGCCTTAAAATAAATTTAAAAGACATGGTTAACCTGACTTCTAAAATATTTTTAGATGTTTTGACATGTTGAAGATACAAATTTACAAAGTGCTCAATCTTTTCCAAAGTGACTTAGCTTTGTCAGCCACTTTCATCAGGAATACAACAAGTCAGTTATACAAATAGGTTAATGCAAGGGGCGGGGGGGTTAGACTTAAGTGAGATGAATATGTCTCATGACACTTTGGGGATTTCCATAAGGCTGACAGTGTTTACCTCTAGAGCTGACTGACTAAAAACAGATCAAGAACTTGTGTTCATCAGATTAGAATTTTTCTGCATACAAACATTCAATTTTACGGAACATAAACTACAAAACCAGATTTAAATATTTCTAATATGTAGTATCCCTTTTATAATTAGAAAGTATCTATTACAAAATAATTTATTATTACAAATGTCGTTTTGGGATCTTTCCATCACAGTATTGAGATTTTTTAATTTGTCTTAAATTACACACGTATTAAATTCTCTAACTCTAATGATACTGTGATATTGCTGTTACTGATCTAGCAGGATAAAAGTGGTGTAGATGATCATCAATATTAATATTATTACTCTTCATATATTATAATATATATCATATATTATCTATATTTTGGCATGTATTTACCATGCATCATTAAAGAATGTCTTTTTGTGGGATTACACTTTAAAAGTCAAACACTGTGTAGTTTTGAACACTAGTGTAAACAGCACAGGACATGATAAACCCTTAGCTCCCCCTGTTGACAAAAATGTTAAGCAACAGCAATATATTTAAAAAAAAAGAAGAAAGAAAATAAGATGGTTTTAGGACCCCGAAATAACGATTTTCATCTGGCTCACCTGTAATTGGAAGTTAATTAGGATAACGGTAAAAAAAATATATGACTGAAAAACACATTCATTAACATCTTTAATGCCCATACTTACACATTCCCAGATCCACAAATATTCCTTCATCCACAGCAGCAGTGTCAAGTTGGCAGCCATCCTTCAGTTATCACAGTACTGTACCTTCGATGGGGACAGCATCAGCACTGTGATAACTGAACCAGGGCAGCCTGTCAAATCTAGCAGCCTGTGGCTGCGTTCCACTGGTCTTGTGCTCTTCATATCTATGTCACACTGACCTGAAGTTCAACAGGTATACAGACAACAAAGTTCATTCCACTTTTACAGTATTTAGCGCTACTTCCATATTTTGCATAAGTGACATACATGATACATTTTTTACACATTTGCCTAAATGGAATTAACTGACTCATTGGTAAATTACATTGTTCTATAATTATCTCAAAATATTAATTTTGGTGACAACGGACGAGTAGAGTTTTTCTTTGTATTTTTTGTAACATTTTTTGTAGCTATGTTTTTGTTGAGACTATTGTTTTTTAGAGTTAGCTTTTGATTCTAACTAAAATAAAACAAAATTGTTTTTTTGTTCTGTGCTATGTGAAATTAACAGAATACTTTCCATTCTTATTTATTCTTGTTAAATTTGTTTGCCAACATTTACTGTTTAGTGTTAATTTACATTTTGGTTTGTTTCACCAGGCCCAAGTGGGGAAAATTGAATTATTTATTACCAAAGAATCAACGCTGAGTTTCAATAACTGATTATAAAGAAAAATACAATGAATTCTTTTTTTTTAAATCACAACTTTGAAAATAGAGCCCTTGTAGTTGAGCTGTTACTTTGCTCCAAAGAATGTGGAAATAATATAAAAAATTAAATGTGGTAAAAAATGCTAACGTTTACTGGTCTTATATCAATTAAAAAAAATAAAACCATCACTATAACTTATCTTTGTCATAAATTAATAGTATTGACACAATCGTAAATATCATTAATTTTGTTGATGTTGTTCTAATATTTCATACATCTGCTCTTTTTAACTGTTTTCTGAACAGTGGAAAAGTACTGCTTGCTTTATTTTACCAACAGTATAATATTTATACCAACCACAGGCTGAGTGACGTCAGACTTGTTATGATCCCGAAGAAAGCCCCGCCCCCTTCGGCGCCACAACTCTCTCGTGCAGTCAGGCGGCGTCGTTGAATGACGTAACGGCTCCTCCTCTCCCCGCCTCCCTCCCTCCGTCCTCGTCAGTCCGCCCCTTCGCATTTCTTGTAAACAACTCCATTAGCCACCACTTCGTAGCTGCGTGCTCCAAAACACGTCGCTGTCGTACGTAGATAGCGGAGATACATGTGCAGCAACAATACAGTTACAAGGCAGACAACAATCACAACAAAGTCGACCGACAGGAGGGAGACACGTTGACATGGATGTGGCAATGAGAGAAATGCTTCCTCTAATTCACTGTGAAAAAAACACAGAGGAGCCATGTTATATAAACCCTCCAATGTGATCAGTTGTAATCCATTAACAGTAAACGCAACACAGGCAGGGAGAAATTGTTGCATTCCGGAGACAGACGACGAAAACACACACCACCAGACTCCATGCTTGTTGCTGCGGTCGAAAAAATAAACAACAAAAGTTGCCCTGTTTAAGCAACGCACTTATTTAACAATCGGACACAATTACATCCAGGCTCATTCAGACCAAAACAATCCACGAAAGCAAGCAAAATACAAACTGCGTGATTCCGTTCATACTGAGTGTTAAGAGCTGCCAAACGTTAACGCCCAGCATTGCACACATACACATTCATTCTAATACTCACACACCCCTTTTTGTGTATAAAACACAGCATGATTTACACAATTCAAATCAAATAACTAATCCTAACTTGTACACAACGTGCAGCTAACAGTGAATAACTATTTAGACCACTTACCCGTGAAAGCACCGCTCAATCCTGCGTGTTTACATGAATATTTTTAATGACGCAGCAAGACCACACTGAGCAACGTGATTGTCGCCATTTTTTTAGTTGTTATTGAATTCTCCCAGAGCCATGTGACTGAAAAATAAGATCGGGGTTTTAAAAGACGGGTTTCCGTGTGGCGCAGAGGGAAAAATAGTTACGAATTGTAGCTCTGTCCTGGTTGGTTTCTTTTTTTCTGGAGAAACAGTCCTGGTTCCTCCACTGACTGACTGGCGGTGGTGAGGACGCTCGGCTGTGCGCAGTATTTGACAGTTCTGGGACGCTGCAACTGCCGCGGTAATGTTGGTTCGCAACAAGTCTGGTCTACTCTCTCCTCGTTCCTACCGTCCGCAAACGTTGCGCAGAATGACACGAAACTCCACGCGCATATTAGAGCAAAACCCCCATTTCCAGAAAAATACACAAGCGAAAACCATGTGAACCGCATCTGCCGTCCGCGATAATAATGACAGCCTCAGATCCTGGAGCTGTGCTGTCAACAAGTGGTGGAATCCAAGCAGCTTCTGCAGTTCTAACACTACGTGCGCGGTTTCCACGAAATCTATTCAGAGTAAATTAAAGTTAAAATTTATAATAACTCGTACCATATAATTGCACTAAATACCGGTATAATCTAAGTTAACATACCCACAGCTGGTGGAGTGCTTGTCTGATCCGCCTTTTTTATATAAATTGGTAGCATGTGGCACTTTTATTTTGTTGCCCAAACTCTTCCTCCTCCTCCTCCCCCTCTCCCTCATCTCCTCCCCGTCTACTTTAAACAGAAAGTTTAATAGACAGTTAAATAGATAAACAAACGAAAGAAGCATTTCCCCCATAACATTTATTTAAAAATGACTAAAGAATCAACATAAAAAAACGAAATGGAATTTGTATTTTGGTAAAATACTGGATCTTGGTTTGTCATACAAAGGACAGCCAGTGTTTTTAGTGACCAACTTAATCCAATTTATACTCCTAAACTGAGTTACCAATAGCATTAAATTTCTAAATGTAACAGTATTTTCTCATTTTCCTTTCTATAGTCTCAATGCTTCTGGTATAAAATATAGTGATAAGGGTTTTACATAAAGAAATGAAATTTAAAGCTGCCAGTTATTCCCAGAGGAGTTGACACCTGACTGGAGTAATTGCTATTAGGACAGGGGCCACACAAAAGCCTAGTGATTACTGCGGCGCTGCCAGTTGACACCTGACTGGAGTAATTGGTATTAGGACAGGGACCACACAAAAGCCTAGTGATTACTGCGGCATCGCATTAATAAGGCCACCAAACTGCATCGTGGCAGGTTGCTTTCCTGTAGGAATTTGGTACGTTCTGCAGGCACATTGGTTCCCACAAGAGATAATGTTCGATGAGCGTTCTTCTCTTCTTGTGGTCTCCCAATGAACTGCCGACATGTCCAAGGCCTACGTCCAGGTGTCATAAAGGAGAGATAGGTGATTGATGAATGTTGGGTAAACAATTAAGAGAAAAAGAACAATCATTGAGGGACCAGTCACTCACTGACGTGTGTGTGTTGAGAAATTGTTGGTGCGGGAACTGGATTGGACAATGATCAACTCCTTCTAGGAAGTTGGAGAATGATTGGTATGCAGAACAAACATACTAACCTTTTGATGTAAAATATATAATAAAGCAAAAGACTCAAGTGTGTCATAGATGTGTAGATAGAGATAGATGCACGAGATCAGGCATGGGCAAACTAAGGCCCGGGGGCCGGATGAGGCCCGTTCAGCTTTTTAAACCGGCCCCCCCCCCAACCTTTTCAAATTCTATAATTTATTTCTATTATCATTGACTTCTGCCTGTTCCCTGCAGTACCCACCTTTTCCCAATAGATGGCATAGAAAATGATAAAAGCGTTTCAGCCTTTATGCATGAGTTTTTCCATGTTATTTATCTTAGTTTTCCTACTCTACTCCTGGCCCGTGTGAGTAAAAGAAAAAAATATATATATTAGGATTGGTTGGTTGTGGGCACCTCGTGTGTTCTGTGGAATTAGACAAAGGAATGGTTTGTGTAATGACATTCTAGACATTAATTTAATTTAGGCTTTAGTCTTATGTTTCATGTGACCAGTTTTCAATGAATCATCAACATGTATGACCTCGGATGAACTCAGGAGTGTGCACAGGACAAAAGGGGTTGGAAACCAATATTTTAGAATCAGTTAAATTAAAAAAATTAATGACTAATAAATGACATGGCAGGATGTTCAGGATGGATTTTACAGGACACAGGTTCACGCCATTGTTCCAAGTATTTGGCACCAGTTAGCGGTTCATTGTTGTTGCTCATGGGTGTAATTCCATCCCCGAGAGTACCTCTATCCTCATGCGCATCGGGTGTATGTTTAAAAAAAACTACAGCAACCAGTTTGCCCCGCGACCTTCGTGCCAACCACCATCCGCATTTTTTCTGAATGATGTGCACAAAAATTAGGGCGTTGTGGAGACTTCGATACTCATTCGCAGAAAGAAAGTCTGCGCTTTTAAAAACGTAGGCGAGCAATGGATTTGTATAAGTAAGAGGAAGAAGAAAAAAAGGAGAGACAAAAAGGGGCGTTTAACTTGACTGGAGCTCGACATATCCAATGTGTGTAGAGAGAAGGCTCTGCGTAAAAACCCACGAACGACAGATAGAGCTGGCATTGGAATCCGCTTTGGCACGGCTTCTTTTGTAACCTTCTAAGACTTTTGGACAGTTAAACCGCACCAAAAACCCAATTGTTATTACTTTTTTTTTCAGAGCGAATCCAAAACAAGGCGTGCGTCATCGTGTGGCGAGCTAACAGGAAAACTAGAACGCACTGATCCCGCAGCCTCTTTTTGAGGAAGACATGGCTAAATTGTTCCGAGCTGCTATCATGGGTCCACCAGGATCAGGGAAAGGAACCATCTCCAAAAGAATCGCGCAAAGCTTTGGCCTCCTGTATCTGTCCTGTGGACACTATCTCCGGGAGAGCATAGTTGCAAAAACAGGTAAGAAACATCTGAGCCATGAACAGTTATTTGGTTATCAGATGCCACCATGCAGCAGGAAGAAGTTTTCAAACACATCATTTTCTGCGCTGCTTATGAAAATGCGGGACCGTTACGTCTGTTAATGTCAGTGTTAGAAAGTTAGATTATCTCGAAGAGGGTTGGGCTTTTATTTTTTGCAGGATTAAGCACTGGTTTTGTAAAGTTTTGCTTCTGTTTTTGAAAATTCGAGTTTACTCCCACCCTCCGCCCCCAGAAATTAAGACTAATTTTAGGTTTTTAAATTACAATAATGTAAAACGACCCAACAAAACATGTCTTTACGCATTTCCTTTTTGTGATGGCTACGTTTTTTGGTTGCCTCGGAAAACCATTCCTTTAAGATGTAATCGATCATGAAAACAAATATCCCTGCACATATAGACTTCAGAAGCTGCAGCAGAAAACTCTGTGCATGCGAGTGTAAGTGAAAACATGTGTTTGGGAAAAGGAAACGAATCGGGAAAGGTTTTTTTTCGAAGCCCGTTTATGAAATGTGTTGATTTGTTGATGCTTATTGACTTTATAATACAATATTTGGGTAAAAAAAAAACATCTGGCTCCACATGATCCTGTGATCCAAGTGAGTTTGAATGGACGTTTGTGTCAGTTCAGTAAAAGGCACTGTGATTGACTGGCGAACTTTCCAGGGAGTAACGCAGCCCTGACCAGATGACCGCTGGGTGTAGCTGCAGCTCATCCCGTGGCCTTGGAAGAATTAGAGGATTAGACCAGGGGTCACCAACGTGGTGCCCAGGGACACCTGGTAGCCCCCGTGGACTACCTAAGGTGCCCACGGGGTATGTTCTTAAAGTGAAACTAGTCAACAATTGTACTGTTACTGTGCTTTTACACTTGCAATGATATTCAAATGGGCGCAATGACGACGGTAAGAAGAGTGTCTGCTATCATATGTCCCAGAACTGATTGTTATAACATTGTTCAGGAACTCTGTATCAGACAAGTAGCTCTTCATATTACTGAGTGCCCTTGAAGTAGCTCTCAGTTTCAAAAAGGTTGGTGACCCCTGGATTAGACAGTAGAAGAATCACTGTTGAAAATCATCAATCCCAGCGGTCTCCAGACTTCATAGTCTTATTTTCAACTAACTTAAAAGACCAGGTTACTTTTAACGGTTTAACATTTTCTTCCTCATTTCATCAATTCTTACACCAATTAGACTCTTGTTTGTTATGACACAGATCTCCAATTTCCATGTTTGTTGTGTGTCAGAGGCAGGTGTGCTGGTCAAGTCCTACGTTGAAAGAAGCATGCTGGTGCCTGACCAGGTGATAACCAGTATGATGCTGCCCAGACTGGAGCAGCTGAGTGGCCAGAGCTGGCTGCTGGACGGTAAGAGACAATCACAGAGCATGTTCAGTTTTAGTGCTGGGGAGTCTTTCCATGGTGTAAACAGCAGAGGTTAACAGGGAGAGAGTTACTGTATTTATGTTATTTATTATGCAGCCTCTTGGTCCATGGTAGGAACCACTATCCGCCCCTTAGTTCTGATTGGCCATCTCAAGTGCCACCCACCTCCACTCCTTGAGCCCCTGTTAGAGGGGCAGGGTAATGGAAAAGGCACCGTTTTAGATGTTCAGAAACACTGTACTTGAGCCAGATGAATAGGCATGTGAAAAGGGTGAGTCGTATGTTATTGTACATCTGTCAGTCATCAGGTAATCACTCAGTGAAACCCCATGAGTCACACTACCTTAATCAGCAACAGGCTGCTGCACGTTCCGCCTTCAACTGAAACGTTGAACGTGGATTTCGGGAAATGTTTTCACAGATGAAAATTATGTGGAAATAACAAATCGTTTTGACAGATATTTTTAATGAGATGTGAAAAATTAACTGTCACGGGTTGGCCAAGTTGTTCGCACTCAAGCTGTGACTCAGTGGGCATTATGACAGCATCAGGCACATTAAAAAAAAAAATTCTGTGTTAATGCCAGTTTACTTAGTAAGTTCTAGTTCTAGAATCATCCGAGTCATTAGTGAAGACTGCGGTGTTTTCTTGTGCTGTTAAACATTACCACTATTTTCAGTTGGCAGTTTAACAGTGTGGTTAGGATTAAACTGGTTTAAACCTTTAAACCTGACACAGTAAGCAAACACGATGAACAAACAAAGGGACGCATACGCCAAAAGACTTTAGAGGTTTTAAATATCTTAAAAACATTTATGTCACGCCATGACTTTTATTCACCCATAACCACTGACTGCTGTGTTTTTCTACCTGATAACGTGGTGTGAAAACATTGACTATCCCTCTATTGTTTGGCAAAAGAAAAAATTGTGTAGAGTAAATACCATCTCTGGGAGGAGTAAAGGTTTAGACCTTGTTTAATGCGATGCACTACCCGACCAATAGTGAGGTCATAATGTTTTTTTTTTACAGAATAGACCTTGAAATCTTGCCCTGTTAACAAACACCCACCAAGCTGTAGAATAATTGATCAGAGCACTGAGGTCATTTTGACCTTGGCAGGGCAAAATGAGGAGATTGCCCACTGCTGGGGTCATATTTCATAACATGCCATGGTGAACTCTCGCCATTTGTTTTTTTTATTTTCACTTGAGCTTCTGCATTAGCATGTCAAGGTATCCTGTTGTTTTTTTATGTTGATATTTTTGCATTTATCGGTGCCTGAATGCAGGAAAATGAAAGAGTAGATGTTGTCAAAAACTACAAAACCGTACTTTTAAACATTAGCATGTTAGCACTGTGTAGCATTGCTCTGAGATTCCTGTCATTTCATATATAAAGAAACCTGTTCTGTTCTTTGTTTGTATATAAAATATATACTGTATTTCCTGCAATTACTAGACAAACAAAAAATATATAAATTTGGTTTTATTTATTATTTAATAGGAATAAATTGTCATAAATAATCATAATCTCCTAAAATTTATATAAAATGATAGGCTTCATTTATAAAATAGTGCTGATTAATTCAGTGACATTATATATTGTCCTCTCTGCTCTGTTTACTGTAGGTTTTCCACGAACACTGCCACAAGCCACGGCTTTGAACAACCTGTATCAGCTAGATTTGGTCATCAGTCTCAACATCCCCTACGAGTCTCTGAGAGAGAGACTGAGTGACCGCTGGGTCCATCCAGGCAGCGGTCGGGTCTACAACATGGGCTTCAACCCACCACAAGTGCAGGTCACAAAAAAGTCAACACAGATTCAGTCTCTTTAACATCTAAAAGAGAATGACAGTAGATTTATTATTCTGCCAAGTCACTGACGCATCACAGATTAGTTTTTTTTAAACAACCTCCCTTTTGTGTTTTCATTTGTGACCAAAGTGTGTATAATTTATTCTGACGCTTCCAGTCAAAGCATGTTTATACACACCGTTTCACACAGAGACGTGAGCAGACAAACAATGAGTATACTTACAGGAGCAAATTACAACAGAGAAAATATGAATGGTATGTAACTCATAATGTAGGAACTGTATAATTACCACTGTACAAACTTTACTGTTTAAGGACTGGCCTTATGTTATTGTGAGTAGACAATTATGTCTCCAAAACATAAAGATAAAAAGGGCAAGTGAGTGCATATATTCTCTGGTATTTTAGCCAGAGATTGATGTTTTTTTTTTTTCAAATCAGTTTTTATAGGTTTATGTGGGGGCGGTGTATTAGTGCGCCTGACTAATAAACTGGGCTTAGGGAATATAAAAAATGTGCAGCATGTCACTGTAGTTTGTTGATGGGCTGATGAGAATTTGCTTTACCAAAATACAACTTCACCAGAAGTTGCTGCTAAATCCCTTTGGTGTGTTTTGAATTTTTCACTTCATTTTTCTCTCTCTCTCTCTCTGTGTGTGTGTGACACTTTGTTTTATCTTGTCTCAGGGTAAGGATGATGTCACTGGGGAGCCACTGATTCAGCACGATGACGACAAACCAGAAGCCCTGATGGCCAGACTGAGGCACTACAAGGATGTAGCGAAGCCCGTAATAGACTTATACAAGTGAGTGAGATACCAGCTGAATGCAGTATAGGCAGCTGGGATTCAGGAGGTGGAGGGGATTGTTTTTCAGGCACTGCCGGAGTTCATACCCATGTATCCCTTGGTAAGTCAAGGGCAAACGTCTCAAGCCCGTAATAGACTTATACAAGTGAGGGAGATACCAGCTGAATGCAGTATAGGCAGCTGGGGTTCAGGAGGGGGAGGGGATTGTTTTTCAGGCACTGCCGGAGTTCATACCCATGTATCCCTTGGTAAGTCAAGGGCAAACGTCTCAAACTGATCGTTGACCACTAAAACTTTAATACACAAGAGTCAAGAACCTTGGTGTGGTGATGCAATTGCATTAACAGTATGTTGGTGTGAACTTAAACCCATAGTATATACAGTATGTATGTAGTTTACGATGTGGTTGCGAACAGCTGTTCCATAGAGAGACCTATGGAACAAGAACACTGTATAAATTCACTTTATTTTTTCAGACCAGTGAAGATTTTCCTAACCATCTTGTGAAGTACTTATTACAAGTTTCATGAATTTACTTATTAGACTCTTATTAGACGGACCAGCTGTCTTGTTCTGTCAGTTGTCTTCATCTAAGTACGATCCTTTATTTAGGAAAAAAACCATGAAGGAATAAATAAATGTAAGTTCTGATAAATCTTTTCCTTTTACACCTGTTTTACCCAGTATTGGTTAGTCTTTAAAATCATGAAACAACTTTTGATCAAGATTTTAACAAAATCATTTTTGGTTTAAAATAATGATATTAAATTTATTTTCATCTTTTTTGTTCTGTTTCCTCTCCTGTTTCCACATTCAGGTCCCAGGGAATTCTGCACTCATTCTCCGGTACAGAGACAGACAGGATTTGGCCATACATCAACTCTCTCCTCAGCACCAAGATGCACACACAGGCATCAGATGCCTGCCAGACCCACACCCCCTGACAGTAGCCTGGGAACAAGGACCATGGGGAAACATCAAGAGACCATTAGAGGAAGTGGGTGGACGTTTCTGCACGCTGACCTCGGTGTCAGTTTTCTTCCTGCTCATTAACGGTGGGGATTTGAGAAATGAGTTTCAGCAAAGTCATACTGTAGGCAGCCATTAGGTTTCCTATCAGTCACTTCCTTAGGAATGGTCAGATATGAAAGAGCAATCCAGAAAATGACACATATGATAGTGACATTTCAACCCTCTCTAATGCCGAATAAAAAATCTTTAGAAACACATTCGAAACATTTTTATCAAACATTTGACATTTTTTTATTTTACTTTTCTAAAAAAAAAACAACCTTAAAATATATCAATACCAGATAAAAGATAGCTAAGAATACTAATTTTTCATCCCTCAGGATCAATTATACTACAATCCATTCTTTTTATTTTTAATCCCAAAATCCCATTGATCTTTCGAGTTATTTCCTTTGAATTTGCTCTATATTTGCAGTGCTGCAAAGGACAAATTCATTTGGTGAACAGTTGCTGTACGTGAGTGCCTTGAGAATCGTAGCAAGATAGTGAGGAAGAAAAGTGAAAAGGACATGAAAGTAGTTCACGAGTTTGTGTAATACAGGTGTGCCTTTGTTTGACTAATCCAAGCCCACATTCAAAAAAGCAATTTAATAAACGTTCAGTCTAAAAAAAAAGGCAATATGATGGAACTGAAGTTAGCCCAGAAAAAGCTAACTGTACGACAAAACGGCTAAAAACGAGCTAAAAAATGTAAATACTTAATGTGAAATTAATTAATATAAAGGGGTAGAATTTATATTGGTAAAAGAGGACCTAACTTACAAACAAAAGTTAGTATAGATATAGCTATTTAGAATAAAGTGAGCCAAAATATTTGCTAAATTGTGACCAAATAAAAGTGATTGTCAGCCAAGTTTTTAAAATTGGTACATAAATGCAGGAAAAATATAAAATAACTCCAAAATATGCCTTAAACCGCATATTTAGACATACTTCATATCTTATAAAAAATATAAACAAGTTAAATATTACAGAAAGCCAAATGCCAGGACGATAGTTCAAAGCCTTAATTTGTTAAAATGTTGAGAAATACAGAAGCACAAATAAATGTAAGCGCTAATAAATAGCACCAAGCTAAGTTAAACTGACACATCCAGACAACAGGACTAAAAACAAAACCTAGTGAAGTGGTCATGTGGTGACATGTGATGACCCAATTTTCAAGGATTTTGAAGTGACAGAAAAAAAAGGTTACAAAATTAAACGCTTGGTTCTGGCTAACTTGCACACCGCTAGCACGTCAGTAATTAGCAGCCTTATGATAGCGTAGCTAAAGGCAGCATATCGCCCCCTGTTGTAGTAAAAAATTAGACGTGATCCTGATTGGCTGTGAGGAGGGATAAGGACGTTAGTCCAACTGAAATGACCCTGGTCATGTACTGAAAAAATGGAGCTGGTAGAAAGACAACACAAGGTCGTGAGACTTCAGCCACAGGCAGGTTGTTTGTTGTTGTAGTTTTTACATCTGTGCTTTTTTACAGTAACGTTTTTAGATACTCTAAATACAGAACCGAGAACGCACAACAAAATCATTTTGTAATGACTTTAACTCCAAAGACAGCTTCAAGATAGATATTCAACTACAGGAATACTAACACTGTTTTGTATCGTACACAATTATCTTGTGAACACCGCAAGCTTTCGCAAAAATCAACCTGTTTTATATCGCGCTGGTGCAGCAGCAGTTAGCGGCTGTAGGTGACAGAGTAGCATTTGTCATTTCTAGCTTAGCATCTGAAGGAACTGTCCGTCTGTTTTTAAACAAGTCGCACTGTGTAAACTGTTATTCTTTGGCTTTTGTGCTGGAATGCTGCAAAAACGTGTGAAGCTGGAGCTGGGGCGGGGGCCTGGTTGGGGCACGAAGCACTGGGTTGCTTACACAGCACACTCTTTAGCTGGGATGAAGACAAGTGCACTTAGCATATACAGTATAGTCATGTCAGTACTGTATGTACGTATATATTCAGTGTTGATTTCTCAAATATATACCAGAAAACCGCCCAGAGATTTATTTTTCTTAGCACTGTCAGTGTGTTATTGCTCAGAATGTGTTGTTCCTTTACAGAATATGAGCAACTTTAGGGCGAGTGAGCCACAGTCATGTGATCATCCTGACTGGGCTGTACAGGATAAACACATGATTGTAAGGGTGATGTCAGATTTATTAAGTTACAGGGTAAAATAATTTACAAAAACAAATGACATTTTCTTTACGCTTCCATACGTCTAAATAATTAAAGTAATCTAAACTTATTTCATGAAAATTGATGCGTTTTGTATACAGTTTATATAAAGTGTTTACATCACTTTAAAATACTTTGATTCATTTGGATGAACAAATCATGATGCCATTTTTTTTGTTTTCTGTTTCTTTTTATTTCAGAAAATTAAAATAACTGTACTTTATTACACTAAGGGAATAAAATAAACCTAAGAACTGAGCCTTAACAGCAATATTGAACTTACTTATGTCTACAACTAAATAAGTTTTGCTGTTTTTGCATTTTAGACTTTTTAGTCATAAAAAGTTGATGCAGCATAAACAAAAAGTTGATTGTTGAGTTGAGTTTTTCAGATCAAGAGAAGGTTAGAAAACAACACAGTGAACACGGTATCACATATAATACATTAGTAACTAACAAGAACCGAGACACATTTGAAATATTTGGGGAAACTTTTTTTTTAATCTACTCTATGAGTCCTGACCAGTGTTGTAAAAACATGTACTGCTGGATTTTAACTCCTTGAGAAACCAAACACCAAGCGATGCAGAGAGAATCACATGGGACTATGAAGCTTCATTGCCTCACAACGAGCCATAGCGAGCTCCCTCGTGTGGCTTTTACCTGTAGCTGCACCACAAATGTGCTGCGTGCACACAGAACTGAAGGGGTAGTTAAAAATAAAGCTACGAAGACACTGCCAACTCATGGTTTTGCCATCAGTTTGCTAGTTTGTGAGGGAAAACGTAATCATTTTGTTATATTATATGAGAGCAGATTTCAAAAGCAGGGAATGTTGACTTCCTGTCCTCTTTGGTGACGTTATCCTCTGGCTTTGGACCACATTGAACACACCCTCCACCCACAGTTTCACTTTCTTTAATGAGCACTGAGAAGATACAAAGAGGTTTTTTTAAAAAAAGAAGAAAAATCTGATTTGTAAAGTCTAGGGTTTTGAACATAGTTTTCCTTCTGGTCTCAGTGATCCCAGCAGTGTTGCTGTGAATAGTTAAGACGCTGCCAAGGCCTTGTAGAAAAATTCAAAATAAAAAAGTTTCCAGAGGTGAGGACAGGCTGTTGCTTTAGATGATCTGTATAACTAACTCCAGTGTACGCCTAATGTCAACACGCAGCCTGTCGCGGGCTGTCAGAGTGCCTTCAGCGGGGGGAGGAGGGGGGCACTGTGGGACGTCTGTAGTGTACGTGGGTGTGTGTGTGTGTGACCACACCCCGCTGCTGCTGTTGTGTAACACTGCTGGATTTTCTGCTTCCCTATTTTTATACCACAGTGTTGAAACATGTCACAGTCTAAGAACAATAAAAGTGTTTTTTTCACTCTGGTTTTCCCACGTTTGTGTGAATATATGACATAAAACATGTGGCCTGCTGCTCATACAGACAGTTTACCTCTGTCCTACAACGTGTTTCAGCTGAGATACCAAATGAGTTTGATTCCCGTTGGTAACTGATGCTCCTTCTGTGTGTGGAGTTTGGATGTTATTCCTGTCTGTGTGTAAGAAATCTTTCTAAGGACTTTAGTTTCTTCCCTCTGTCTAGAATCTTCCAGACTGAGGATGAGGGTGTGAGTATGAATGGTTGTTTACCTTCTTATGTTGCCCTGTGATTGACTGAAGAACCCCACCCTAACCCCATGACTGTTGTCAGAAGCCTTTAATTGAAGTTCCACTTTTCTTTTTTTACACTGTCTATTCTCAACCCTTCCTTTTTTTCCTTCTAAAGAATTCAGGTTTTATTTTTGTTTTTTTTTTAGGCCTAATGGCAACTTTAATGGCCACTTTTTTCAGAAGATCATCTGATACTTGTGCTAATGTCAACATTTGCACTCAATTGCACAGCTGCATAATCATGCATTCAAGCTCTTTCATTTTTATAAATGGGGAAACAAAAAAAGGGTTCTTTGTTGTTATTAGAGCTGATGACCAGAAGATTGTACTGTAGACTGTAGGTCTTCATGCCATTGGGCAGGCATTTGCTGCCATATGATTGGCTGATTAGCTGATACTGTATATACTTCTGTTGAGGAGCAGCTGGGCGTATCTAATGAAGTGGTAAATTGATTTATATTGATACATAATGTTTTCCATTGTTATCACCTCTCTCTCTTTCTCCAGTCTCACAACAGAGAGCATTTAAATTAAACCAAGTTGATTGTTCTGTGAAGAAACAGCCGCCAAAATGAGAAGAAGGCAGTTCGGTGCTGGACCAACTCTCGCTGAGCAGAGATTTTCTTGCTGTGGAACTTCTGTGAATGTGGTAAATTCCTTTCCCTTTCTTCCTTCTTTCTGCATCTGTTTTTCTCACTATTCACCACGAGCTGAAAATAAACAGCATGTGCACATTACCCCCCACTGATTACACCCTCTTTAGATACAGCATGTGTGGTCCGTGCAGCACAGTTTGGTGCAAAACACAAGAGCGATTCAACTTTTCAACATGACTAAAGCATCATTTTATTATGGCGACCTCTGGTGTACAAATGGTTGCTCGGTCAAGTTTTGATGTGGAATATAGTTGTTTTTTTGATAAGATGGCGGTGGAATGGCTAATAATATAGCCTTAAAAAAATCTCTTTTCACTAATCCCAAACGTGTATTCGAGCTTCACAAATTCCCATTAGATTTAATATAACATCCTTATTTACTTCAACAAAACTTGCTTGTTTTGATTGGCCTAAACCACATGCTTTTTTAAAAATAACACCATAGCCATCTTTTATTTATTAAAAAGTTTTATATTTAAGTTTAGTTTTTTGCGTTTTCCTGCATTAAAAATTGTAAAAAAAAAATGTATCATTGAGTTGTTAAGTGACCTTGAGATCTTTTATAAAAGTCCTACATTTTATAAATAAAATTTACAATAATAATAATAATGATATAAAATGATATAAAATACATTTTTAGTATGTCCGTACAACACTTTACGGTTCACTGTGTTTTTAAATTTACATCCCAAAATTATGTGTGTAATGTTCACAGGTTTGATCGTGAATACGTTTTCGTAGAATATTAGGTTTCACCGGACCGACAGTTGCACAGAAGATGCGCCGAGCGGCGCACTTTCCCCTCTTCACCGAGCTGTCAACATTCACGGTCTTCCTGGTTGGAGCTCATCCACAGCTTTTACACATCTACCATCACGCACTGTTGTCTTCGTATCTTCTCTGAAGCTCATTAGTGTTCGTGAAACAAATGTGGTTTTGTGATGACACCGCCTCACCTGGTGGTCGTGTACGAGTACATTTTTCGCCCAGGTGCAGAGGAATCTTCCCATGATAGAGGAGCTGTGAGCCGGTGACCTTTAATCGGCAGCGAATGACAAATCAAAGATTGGTGTTTTTACAGCGCATCTCCAACAAGACACAAGACGGCGCTCCTGGGAGAATGGTAGACAGCGTATTTCAAGGTAAGTACCCTTGTGATGTCCGGTGTTTTAATCATATTTTACTGTGATTCAGTGAAATCGTTTGTACGGTCAGAGTTCGTACCTGGAGCCATAACCGAGAGCATCGTGATGCGTTTAGCTGTTACATAATAGTCTGGAAATTCTGGCCACGACCCTCCGTACAGCGCATCTCAGCTGTGGTCAGGAGGTTATTGATACCGTGCACCTGCTCCGAGAGGATTTTTTTATTCTTGTCTTCTAAACGCTTTAATTATTTGGAATATTGTGTTAAAATGTGCCTTTATTTGCTCTGGGCCTCGGTGTAACAGGAGCATCATCAATGTCGTCGTAAACGGCTTTTTTTTTTTTTTTTGGCGAAATATCGTCTCCCCCGAATTATAGCTCAACACTGACGACACGTTCTGCTTTGGAGTATTTTGAATGTTATTCCATGACAATCACATATGTGTCAATAATCTGAAAGTGTGTCAGTTTGATTTTATTTTTCTCCCCAGTCAGCTGATCAGCTGAGAAATGTTTAAAGGCACATAACACACATTAGCCTTCGTAAACTGTGCGCTTTTTCGCCCAATTGTAAAAATGAAACATCGTAGATCTTTAATAAATGGAGCCCAGGTCCAGGCTGCCATGTCGGTATCAGCTGTCTTGATCGTTAGAGTTATCACATTCACCATCTTCATCATCCCTATGTCAGGGGACAGGTCTTCTTCATCCTCGTCCAATGGCGTTTAGACACGTCACCGCCTCGTCACGCACACCACGTGAGCAGCTTAGAGGTTTCATGTTCTGATCACCAGCTCTGGGCTCAACCTTTGGTCCAGGGGAAGGCTGGTATTGCTCGTCGTCCATTGAGGTTTATTGCATTAAAGGGATAGTGCAGCTTTATACGAGGCGTGTTCCTGTGCAGTGGTCAGGAAACTGGACTTAGTGAGACATGGACAGTCAAGGAATGTCAGTGAAAAGATGGCTGCCAGCAGAGACCCAAGAAAAAAAGAAATCTAAGCCATTAGACATGAATATAGTCCTGCAGTTGGTTTTATCTGAAAAATGGCGTGGGTCTGAATTTAGTGATGCTGTTGGTAAACCGAGAATATCGTTTCCTGTGACGAGTGCAGTTTGTTGGTATTAACTGTATTTATTCGTGTAGTGGGGTCGAAACCTTGGCTATCAGCACATGTTCACGTAGCTCTGCAGCCCAGCGGGTGTCCTCTGAATATAAAATTACTGCTCAGGACAATCATGTCAAAGATGGTGGTTGATCTCAGCAGGGAGTGTCAGTGATGACCTGTAATTAATTTCATCATACACATGTTTTAATAAACCACAATAGACCAAAAGCTTTTGTGTCCTCTTCAGGCAAAAAATGTGAATTTCCATTGTTCACAATAACTGTTCAGTCAGAAACTATTTCTTGAAAATTTTACTTAATCTTTTTGTATTTAACTATCGATAAATAGCGTAGATAACTCGGGTCAGGCAGTTTAACACATGAATTATTTTGTTACACATGCTTTTATTTTGAAAGTCAATAGAAACAGAGACTTCTCATTCTGAGTTATTACCCTTTTAGATAAAAGTGTGTAACGCACTATTTCACTATTGAATTTTGAAACAGTGTGAATAAGTGATATTAATTGCATGGTTTTCTTACATTTTGTAACTTACAAGAAAATCCCAAGAAAAAGTGAACTGTTAAATGGCTGAAGTCAAGGATTAGAGCGAGAGCAGTGCTGAGAACTGATGTTTTGTTTTGAAACACTCAGCAAGACTGACATGGATTTACTGTCTCCACCTAGTCCTGCTGATTCAGCAGAATCCCGGATATAGTTTGAATTGTTATGAGGATGTGGGATAATCATTAATCCTCTGACCATGAAAAAAAAATCATCATCAACAACATTCAAGACGGATTAATCATAAGCCATAGAAAGATCACAAAATCTTATACATTTAATTTTTATGCTCTAAATTTGAATATACTGCTTTGTTTCTGTTATACTGTACAATGTCCAACCCTGGGAAGAACATCCTGTGTGCACAGGAACCACGGTTGTGTTGTTTTGTACACAAACACAGCACTTCAGAAAACTGGTTTAGCTAAAACCAGTGCAGAACAATTAACAGTTGATGTAACATTGTAACACTAACATTATAACTAACAGTATTTCAATTCCTATTTAGTCATGTTTAGTTTTTTCATTTTAAACTAAAAAATACCTAACAATTTTTGTAGACTTTTAGAGATTTTCTCATCTGCTCCAGTATCATATATGGACAATGATTTTTCTTTATTCTGGTTTTAAATACTGTATAAGAAGTAGCATTGACTTCATAGATGTACATACAGTTGCTTTACCACACAGACTAAAATGCAGCCCCAGATCCTGACAGAGCTAAAGACTGTTGCGTTCATCCTCAGTCCTGCCTCATTGTAGTTTTAGGATATTTTCAGCAATTTTGCTTTGTTGTCCGGCCTTAACATTGTATTAGCATCGACAATTAGCATTTACATTTAAACCATTTCTATTAAGGCATCAACAAATGTTCAGTTCATTCACCAACTCTTTGCCTAAGATTTTCTTTTTTTTAAAGGAAGCCACTTCTAGACACTTCAGATAGCCTACTGTTTTGTCTTTGTGACTGTTAGCTGTTAGCGTCTCGGCTTGGTTCAGGCCTATCAGACTGAGTGGACAATAGTTTTGGACATTTCCATTTGTTGTTATGTTGTTTCAGAGTCTTTGACAACAACACATTTAGAAGGAAATAAGGTCATCGGTGGGCAAATATTAGTAGGCATGGTGAGGACCAGGACGGGAAGCTCAGTCACGGAGCAGCGACACTTTATGTCCGGTTACAGCGGTTCTTGCCTTCCTCCCTCCTGGACATTCCATTCACACTGTGCTTTGAGCTGTCTGCTCTCCAAAAAGAGTTTCCCAGGCTCATGTTCTCTTGTCAGAACCATGCACAGTGTTCGTTGCCAGGGGACAAAGCCAAGAAAAGAACCATGCCATCAGTGGTTTTCTCCTCTTTGGTGCCTTGGTCATAGCAGGACAACAGGAGGTTGCCATCAGAAATTTAATTTTCTGAAAATCAGCAAATAGAGAGCAAATACTTTCTAACAACCTGTGGTGCAATTTCTTTAAATAACTATACATTAGCTGTTGTCATGTTTGCCTGGCAGTTATGTGCCGTTGCTTTAAATAACAATGTTACCTTAACATTAGCTGTTGATCTGTGTGTCATGTTTGCCTGGCAGTTATGTGCCTCCTCACATTTGAGTGGTGGCCATTGATTAAAGAGTCAGCTATTTAAGTTATTAATGCAGATTTTTTTTTGGCCGTCAAACTGCAATTGTAGCACCCCCTGTAGGGAGGGTGATTTTTGATTTACAAACACGATGTTAGTGCATCGTGTTTCTTCAATTGGGTATCGTTTAAAACACCGGACCTCTGACCAGACTGGACGGATTCTATAAAATATGTTAATGTTAGGAGCATGAGTAGAAACAGAGGACACGACAGTAGGAGAGTGAAATCATCATTTTACTCCGAGCAGCAGCAGCAGCTGAGGGAAAAATGCGGCGCTGAGGAAAATCGGGCGGTGACACACATACACACACACACACATACACACACTCACAAGAGAGAGAGAACCAAATTTCTGAACAGAGACTGGTCCTCCTCTTGACATGTGGTGCACTCAGCAGCATCAGCACAAGAAGCAGCAGCAGGACTTTTAGCAGCGGCAGCAGCAGCAGCACGGGCTTCAGGCTACAGTAGTAGCATCAGTTTTAGCAGCGGCTGTGGTTGCGGTGGCGGTGGCGGAGTCGGCGGC